AATTTTTTAATAAATTAAGCGTAATTAATGGCAATATTTTGTGAGAATAATTTGTTTTCCTTAAATTACCGTAAGATATTTGTAGTGAGTGGGTAAAAAATTAACGATATTATAACGATGTTGTGACAATAATTTTCTTATGGTTATAGGTATAATAACATTTACGATACCTTCTATCAATATTTAAGATATTTTTATTTGTATAATGTTCTTAAACACATGTATGGAATATGTATGTGATACAAGTCGTCATATTTAGGTACTGCTATATTTTAACATTCATTTAGAATTTTATAAAAATTGTCTTCAATTAATATTGATCTACTATATAAATACCTATAAAAATGTTCTCTTTATTATGACGTGCTTTAGTTACCCAATAAATTTCAAGGTAGTAAATTTTTGATATTATCTCGTTACCAGAAAATAATTATGCTACAATATAATTTACGATTTTATACAATAATTGTAGTACAACATTACATTCTGTTAACAAATTACATTAACAAATTAAAATATAAATTTTATTCTAGTTAATTTAAAAAATTTTATTTTATTCTTAATGCTAAATCACTCAAATTCAAAAAAGAGAAATATCGGCTCATTATGAAGTTATAAATTAAACAAATTAATGATAAATTACGACATTAATGTTTGTTGTACATTTACAATTAATTTATTTAAATTTGAGAGGCAAAAAAAAAAAAAAAAATTATAATAATTATGATTTATGAATGGTGTTTAGTATTAGATGGCATTAGCCTATATGATTAACAACAAAAATTTTTTTGAATTTTAAGATTTTTTTTTGTGCATATGCAAAATTGCTTAGTCAGCAGTGGGGTTGTTTGAAAAAGTAATACAAAAGTTCAAACAAATTTATTTTGTCTTGTTGAAAGTTTTTAATTCTTATAGAAATGAAAAATTTTTTTTTAAATAAATTGCTGTGCATTTAATTTATTTCAATGAAATATTTTGTGCATATTCGGTAAAATCTAATTGGATTATGAAATTATATTTTAATTAAAATCTGTAAAAATCTAAAGTTAATCTGCAATGTAAAATTGTTTTTATCACATAGTTTTGTTTGGATATTAGAAGTAAATGGAAAATAAGAATTAAATCGTAATTAGCTTTGGGTATAAATTACATTTATCAAGTACTGATGTTCTACATTGTGTAAGAAATAAGCATTCTTAAGTGCTAAGAAAAATTTTTAATTGTAAAAATGTATGTAATAGTTGATAATACCATTGTGAAGGAACCGAATCTCTATACCTATGTTAAAAAATTATCAATTAAATGTTTTGAAAATTTGCCTCAAAATGCCTTATATATTTTATATTTTAAATTTGATATTATTTGTGTTGTCATAATTATTATATAGGCAACTACTATCAAATATTAAATTTGTCAAAAAATTTTTTCAACAAAAATTTCATTTTTAATTTAAAATTTTCTTTACAATCTATACGAGTATAAATTACATATTCAAGTATTTCAAAGTAGATTATTAATTTGACTTGAAAAGATTTTATACGAGAGTTAATGAAAATATTTATGTTAAAGTATTTACATACTCATATTATGTACTATAAAATGTACTTGAATGTTTTATCCTTCGGTTAAATTAATTTGCTGAACAGATGTTTGTTTTTCATATATGTATATACGGACATATACATTCAAATCCATTTTATATAGTATTTGACACACACATATATACTATTCAAATTAATTTTATATATATACATACGTATGTATGAGAGCTAATGAAAATGTCATTAGTAAAGGATCATTAATAAATTTTCTAATTAGAAATAATATTGAAATTTTTGCATTCCAAGAATAATTGGAATAATTATTATGAATTTTGTATATCTGTCTTAAATTATAATAAGTTTTTTTTTTCTAATAAACGTAGTTATATTCATACAATCATTGTTATTGTTTCAGGAATGTTGTTCTTGAATGACAAATACTGAAATTTTAGAAAATCAATCTTATTTTAAAATTAAAAATTTCAAATTACTTCATTTTTTTTTTAATTTTAAATTAATAATAGCTTTAAGAGAAGAGGAAGAGAATTTTCAAAATATTATTAATATTTGTGCTATATAGACTTTATTAATAATAACGTGCATTTTTGCTGCAAAAAATTAAATATTAAGGATAGGATTTCAGATAAAAATAATTTGTAAAATGTAGATTTAATCGTACTCTGAAATAGTTTCATGAAAAACTTTTTGTTTCAAGGGTCTCAGACAATTAAAGGAGTTCAAATTTTCAATTAATGGAAAAATATTTTCGTTTTTAAGACTAACTAAATTTCTGCAGAATATTTTCATTAAGTTTTCACAAGTTGAAATCGAAATCGCCAGAAATTTTTGTTTATAAAAAATTTTTTTAATTCATAAAGTCGTGAAAAATAAAATTTCGTTTCACTAGGCGTTATTCAAAAAAAAATATTAAGAGCGAGACAAAATTATTAAAAGTTTTGTCGTTTATTAACAAAAATATTAATAAAGAAAATAAAATATTTTATAGCCTCACTATTAAAGAAACTACACACTTAACAAGATTTTCTCAATTATTCTTTGTTCTCTTTCTCTTTTCTTAACTATAATCAAATCAAAATAAGTGATCATTAGAGAATAAATTTCTTGAACAAAGTAATTGTAATGTTAAATTTTCTGGTCTATATGTAAAAGGATGACTTATTGAGCGTTGGACTCAAATGAGTATTAAGTATTGAATGTTGATAATGATAATGAATTTATTGATCTCACTTTTTATTAATTTGAAATTTTCGTTTTGATTTTTCAATTCTCTTAATGATAACTTCAAAAGCTTAAATGTTATAATAAAATTTATCGTTGTTGTTGTTGTTGTTGCAATTAACTTACAAACATATGACGATTTCTATATTGACAAACATATTTTATTTTATTTTTATTATTATTGTTTGTTATCCTTTTTCCTTATAAAGGGCTCTCTCGAAACAATTGCAAATATTTTTTTTTCTTGTTTTTGTTTTCTGCTATTTAAAGTAGAAAGACCAACAATCAAATAGGGTATATTTCATGATGTACAAAATAAAAACAACTACATATATTATATATACATACATAGTAAGAGAGTAAACAGACATTAAGTTAAGAGAAACTATACCACATAAAATGACACCCAGGGGGTAAACTTTATGATTTTAGGCTTGATGATCAAAGCCATAGTATGTTTTGTTTTTTCTTTTAACCGTAACAATATGATTCGACCATAGAATTGACAACAAAAGGAAGTCAAAAGTAAAAAATGGGAAAAATTGAAAGTTACCAAAAAAAAATTTTGTTATTTGTTTTCTTTTTTTTTTGTATTTTTGGAGTGTAAAGAAAATGTTGGTGTTAAAATTTTGTTTATTTTATTCGTTTTTCGTAATAATTTTGATTATTTTGTTTGTGTTGTAAAAGAACAAAGAATTTATAAAGAATTTTTTATCCTTTTCAAAAAAAAAAAAAGAAAAAAAAAAAAATAATTTTTGTTTTTCGATTTCATTTTCCATTACTTAAATTTTTTTCCCATTTTTTATTTAAGGTACATTACATAAGTATATATATATAAAGGAATTTATTTTGATTCCTTTTGTTATTACCAAAATAATAAATAAAGAAAATAAAAGAGAAAATTGTATGCTTACCTTGGGAGATCCCGAATTTTTCTCATATAAAGAAAATTTCATTTTTATATTATTGTAATGTACTTAAATAATTATAAGGTATACACACATTTTTGTTTTAATATTATTATGATGAGAAAGCTTTTCATTTTAACATAAAAAATTTCATTGAGTTGTGGTTCTTTTATTTAAATATAAAATGAGAGCAGATAAGTTGAATAAAATCATTGACGCTTTCAATCGAATTTCTCTTTTAACGAAAAAAAAAAAAAAAACAAAGAAATGTAAATGCAAATTAATGTAATTAAAATTTTCTTTCTTTTGAATTCTTTTGAAATTTCGAAGTATGAATATTTTTTTAGGGCTTATATTTTGTGAGAATTCTTCTGATGTTGAAAAAAGATCACTGTATTCCTGATTTAAATTAAAGGTATTTAAATGAATAGTTGAAATATTTTATTTCCAAGAATGATTTTTTGATTTTGATTGCAAGCATATATGAGTTAGGACCTAAATTATGAGAAAAGCCACCCACATGTTTATACAAATTTTGAAACTATTAAATTTATTATTTAAATGCTTGAAAACAGCAGTAATTTCAATTAAGTAGAAAATAAAAACTTGGTTGTAAAAATTTAATATGCACTTCTTGGCTGTGGGTCTAAATAGGAAAGTGTTAAAAGAAATAAAAAAAATCCCATTATTGTGACTAAGCACACAATACAGTTTTGTTTGAAATGTTGGTATCACTATTAATATTCCAACACAATTCTAACATACCAAACTATAAAGTCTAACATACAAAATTATATATATATATATATATATATATGTATACATACACATATAAAACACTCTTTAATTCAATCACCAAGTACCACCGAGTGGCTATTGTGATAAAAAATTAATAATAGTTAATAATTACAGGGTTTAATATCAATAAAAATAATAAATAGTCAAATTTTTAAGTGTAAACATTTTATAAGGGCCTTCAAAATTTTGAAGAAAAAATGTTTTTTTTTTTGCTATACCTCCTGTACTGCAGTTTTGCATTCGCTGTTGAGAGTTGAAAGTAAACTAATTAGATAATTTACAAACGATCTCATTTTTAAAATATTTCAAAAGTGGAACTAGTGTGTACTCAAAAGGTTAAAATCCCTGTAGCTTGGAAACAGTTCCAATTTAACACTATGTTCTGAACAAAAATTTTATTCATTTTCGATCCTCTACCCGATGGTATATGGCTCCTAACTTGTTGGTGTATTATTTAGATTATTTACTGTAAAATGCTCACTTTATTATTCGAAAGGGAATAACGTCATCATATTGAATATAATCTCAAAGTTAAAGTTACTTACATTTTGATTTTTAATTAGAGATCACTTAATTTGTTATAAGGTGACTTACCTGAAAAGAAAAGAAAAAAAAATGTTAAATAATTTTTATTTTAAATTTTTTCTAAATTAATTAAAAAATTAAATAAAAATTAAAATATTTAATTTCTCTTAATGGAAATTTCTTCATGCAACTGCAGAACAGATGGATGACGTAATCAAAGGAACGAGTTAAAGGCAGAAAAATTCATTAAAAAAATTTTTCTCCTCGAACTGGACTCGAACCAGTGACTAACCGCTTTCTAGGCGGACGCTCTACCAACTGAGCTACAGAGGCATGAAGAAATTTCCGACGAAATGTTCTCTACATTGCTTATACTCTACAATCAATTAAAATTTAAAATATTTAAAATATTAATTTAAAATATTTAAATTTTAATTGATTGTAGAGACAGTAGAACTAATTATCACAACACTAACTTATACCTCAGAAGAGAAAAATCATAATGGTAAGTACATAAAAATTCACCATACAATAATTACTTTTAATATACCAAAAATTAAATTTTTATTATTAAATTATAATTTTATATTACAACAATAATAATTAGCATTATTTTCACTTTAAAATAAATTATGATTACGCGTGTAAATTGTGTTTTTTTTTTAAATTAAATATTAAAGATTAATTTCTTTTGTGTATGCAAGTATTGTGTTAAAGGATTTATTAGAAAATAACATTCATATATGTAATGCTCGCATTTATAATAAAATTTACATTATGATGAAATTTATATATTTTTTACTATTACTAGTTATGCATATACATATAAGTAACATTAATAATAAAGGGGAAAAAGAATATTATTCTTTTTAATAAATTTTCCGCACTTAAACATCATATAAAATGAATAGAAGAAAAATTACAAGTAATAGATGGTATTAATATAATGAAAATATTAATATATTTTATATTATATGCAATGTACTTGTGCTTATGTTGTTGAAATATTTGTTCATCAGTGATTATTAGAGGGTGGTGCGAAAATCATCAAATAATTTACGAAAAAATTATTTCATTTCCTTTATTTCTCTCGTTCTTAGTGAATTTATCAACTTCTTATATTGCGAATGTTATTTACATAGAACACTTTGTAAATAATTTGAAAAACTTTGTTCGGGTTTTCTAATTGAAATGTTTTTAGTACAGTATTCATGTAAGGTATGTATATCTGTGAGTAGTGGTACAGATATTATAATATTTCTTTTATTACTGTTATCGGAATTGTAATAATTATAAAATTTGTAATTAACAATCTTATATGATGAATAATAAATCTGAAATTTTTTTGTATTTCTGCAATTTCAGAATTTCTAAACCATCCTGTCTAAATATACGTTCATATACTTATGTATAATTTAATTTCTTTTATTACAGAATTTCTCGTATAAAAAATGCATGAAATGTTACAATTTTTATACATACATACATACATATATGACATACATAATATCTTTGTTTTCATAAGACATCATCTGTAGCGGACCTACTATTATCCTTCCGGTATCTATATCTCTTATGGTTTTATATCCGGAGAAAAAAAAATTATGAAAAATATAAGTAAATAAATAAATGTATGAGGATAAGTTAAGTATATATATATATGAACAATATTCTTTACAAGAACTACATTTCATATATAAATAATATTTGAGCTAATATTTCCTCTTTTCTTTCAAATTCATTTTTCATTCATTTTATAAAGACGAAAAAATATAGAAAAAAAAAACAAAAAGAGAATAAAATTTTTTTTTTCAGCCACTTGTTTCTCTACTTTCTTATTTTTTAGTCTATTTTATTTTTCATATTCTGTCAAAGTAACTGTCATAATATTATATATGAAATTATATTTTTATAATTATATGCAATTGACATTTTCATTTTCATAATTCAATGTTATATAAGTAGTTGTGTACAATATTATATACATGAGAATATGAGATAGATAACAGTGTGTGTGATGAGTATAAGAAAAATGTAAGGTATTCTCTCTGTTTTTACATAGTGTGACAGCGCAAGAAAAAATTTCTAAACCAAAATTTAAAAATAATTTTATAATTTAACATTATATAAATTTGCAATAATAACAGTAAATGTCAGTTATTCAAAATTTTACCTAAAGTTTTAGAAAAAGCACGATTAAAATATTCCAATTCGAAACGGATTTTGAGAAACATATTTGTTTATTTATGGAATGAGAAGATATTTAAAGAAATTAATACTTTTGTATATGCAAGTTCAATAAATTTTAACAATAGGGTTCTGTGTCTACTAAATTGAATTTTTTACATTAAAATTCCAAAACTGAAAATCTCTTAAACTATATATCTTTTATGTTCGATAGCCATTTCCTTAAATTCAACTTTAGAACTTGTATTAATAATTTTCTTAAGTGAGATAATGTAAGTCGAAATTGAATGATCTTTGTTTTTATAACGTTATTCAACTGAACACTTTGTACACATACTGCACAATCGATTTTACATATATGTGTAGGTATATCATATTAAAAATTTTTTTTTTGAAAAAAAAAATATATGAATAGAATTTTTATTTTTTTTTTTTTTATTAATGCTTGAAATCTTAGAAAGGATATTTTCATTTAATAAGGACAATTGAGATACATTTGTCAATATTTTTCATTTGGGAATTTATATCATTTTCAAGATAAAAAATAGAAATAAGAAAAGCAAAGTAAAAAATTAAAAAAATAAATTAATAGATAAAAGAATAAAAAGGAAAAGGATGGGAAATATTTATTATTCTTAATTTTATTTTTTGTCGGCAATTCTTCAAAATAAGAGAGAGGAATGAAAAATATTTCATCGCACTTACTTTTATTAATTCATAATGATTATAGTAATACATATGTATGTATGTATATGTAAGTTGTAGATTTATGAATTGAATATTATTTTGGTATTAAGAAGATAATGAAATGTGGGTAACAATAAAAATTTTAAATTATTATTGAATGCATCCTTTGGCACTTGGTTAATTGAAATATTTTGTTCATTGTTTAATTTAAAAAAAAAATTTTTAATAAAATTTTAATAAAATTTCAAATATAATTATTTTGATAGCGGCATATATCTGTGTGAGTTGAAGTATAGTTCGGATGCTGGAACAATTTCAAAAAATTTCAATGTATGTTTTTTAAAGAATTTTAAATCTGGTTAAAAATGGTTAAGATTGGCATGAAAAGTTCATAGGTAGAATATAAAGCAAATCAGTTTATGGTCAAATTAAATGTTATATGATTTCGTACCATTTGTTACTCCATACATCATCTCCAATGTACACCTGCACACATAAAAATAATCAGGGTTTTTTCTTTTTTGTTGAAATTTATTTTACCTTTATAGAGCGCTCATTTGAAGCGGCTCGAATATTCAGTTAAAAAGTTCTTTAATTTTCAATTTAGTTTAAATAAGTTAGAGCACAATTTCTTTGAGCTCTTATAAATCATTATAAATTTTCAAAATATTTCAATTTTTCTTCTATGAAAGACCTTTAAAATATTAAGAAATAAAATTATTTGAAAATCTTCATAACATACAAAGTAAAGATTGGTGTTACAATTTATATACATGTAGATCTCTAAATTAATAGATCAAAATTAAATTTAATCCGAAGACAGACCAATACTGAAACTAATAGATAAAATCGAAAGAAAAAAAAAATAAATAAATTTTTTTTTTGATCCTCTCTATTGTCAATGAATTTCAATAAAATAAAAGAAAAAGAATAACAATTTATATAAGAAAAAAAAAATTATAAAAAAAAAAAATTGAAAAATATTTCTATCATGACGTAAATTTCAATTCATTATTGTTGTTGTTTGTGTACGATGAAATGAGGAAAAATTTTATATTAAAGTGAAAAAAAAATTGATGAAAATTGAAAAATTGAGAAATAGAAAAAAAAAAAGTAGAATAAGGTAAAGAAAATTAAAGATCAAGAATTTCATTTCAAATGTTGAATGAATTTTTATTTTTTGTATTTTTTATTCTCTTCATTTCAACAAAGTTTTCCATTTTCCTATATATAGAAAAGAAAAGAAGAAATAATGAAAATTATTTGATGAATTCTTGTGGCATTTTCAGTTCATTTTTTTTTTTTTTTTTGGAAGTTTTCGATATTTTGTTATCAATAAAATATTTTTGGAAATGAAAATCCTTTTGTTTAATTAAAATTATGATTATCAATAAATAAATTTTTGGTATATGCATTTCAATTCTGAACTCGAATACAAAAATTAAATTCTGTCACAGATTCACTGAATGCATAGGCAAAGAATTAAAATAGAAAAATATTTGACTTTGAATTTTTTGGTTTTTTAATAGAAAAATGATTTTAAATTTGTGAAAAATTTTTTTTTTTATGAATATTTTAGTGATGGTGAAATTATTTTAATGACGAATTCGTTAATATTTTGGATGATTACGAGTATACTGTAATATTTTCCAAAAAATTTTTAAAATCTCAAATAAATTTTATGTTCATATATAATGGAAAGCATTTAATAGAGTTTAAGGTATCAAGAGCATTTGTGGAAAATTTAAAATTGCCCTTTATCACAAAATTATCTCCCGTGATCTATTAATTTAAAAGTTTAACTCAATGGATAGCCTATAAATGCGCTTTGTATAATTCAAAGTGAAATATACTTAAATTACGATAAAATGTGAAACAAATTCTGAAAATACTAATTCAGTTTAAATATTTTATATGTTTTAAGAATTCATTGGTTTCCTATCTTACCATTTCCGATAATCAATTTTAAATTTAATAAAAGTATTTTTTGAAATATCTGTTTAATGCATTAATTTAACTTTAAAATGAAAATTAAAATTTAAATCATGAAATCTTTAATACAAAAAAAAAAATATTTTTCAATTTTTCAAATTTTTCTTTTTAATGAAATTATATGCAATGATTATCTTGTGTTTGCAAGAAAAAAAAAGGAAAAAATATAAAAATTGTGTGTACGTTTACATGAATATTTAAGT